CTGACGCTATTTTCTTCTATATTCTGGAATGCAGAAGACAACTTGAAATGTGCATGTTTGGGAGGTACTGACTTTCTGCCTCAGTCAAGGTTGCTGACTCACCAAAACCCACCGGTCTTTTGCAGACTAGGAATAGGCTTTTCGAGTCCCCTCTCTGTCAGGGAATTTACATTTTCAAGTAAAACCAGAACTTTTATGCTGTTTGGGTATATACTAATCAAACATTTTGGTCTAAATTCTCAGTAGCTTGAGTGAAATCAGTCTAGAACTACAGAGTATTAACAGATACCAGAACTGACTCCAAAGTCTGAGAACAGGCACACTGAGGACACAAATGTACAGAACTGGAAGACAGATTAACAAGCAGGCAATTTAGTAAATCAGAAGATAATTAAACCAAGGCACAATCTAAGTGTAAGCTCCTATTAGTAAAGAGATTATTAGCTGCTCAGTAATGCTCTTTTTATGCCAGGAGAAAAAAAGAATCATGTATGGGCCCCTTTCATCAAAATGCAGACCTGTTTGGTGCCAAAACTCTTATTTGCAATGTACTGAAAATACAAGTCTTAGTTTTCCTGTAAGGCAAACTGACGAAGACTACAGAAGCTTTGCTTGTTTACTGTCCAAAAACAGAGCAAGACATTTAGGTAACATTCCCTGCATACTATGGATGCAATTAGATATTTTCCACAATTACTATGAAATTAGAGAAATGAGTTGAAATGCACATCAACTGCTCAGAGAAGAGCCATTCAGATCTTGACTACAGGTTTCGCTGAGTAATACGCAGATTTTCCTTTTCAATATATATTTCTACTTAAATTACTTACAACTCCCTCTCACAGACCACCAGCAGAGTAAACTGCTTGAGGTTTACTTGAACTGTAGCAGAGAAGCAGCTTCTTCGCCTCTTTAATTCTTTCTGACTTTGTACGTGGAAGCATGTACAGAAAGATGTTAGTTCTACAATCCACCAGCGTATCTCCCCCTCTCTCAAAAGAAGCTTCAAAGAACAAGCCAGAATATGCTACTAGTCTGCAATTACTTTATGTCAGCTTGTTTATAAGTAATGCAGGACTTTTTTTTTTTTCAAATAAACCTATTCACGAAAGGCTGATCAAATTTTAAAGAGGCACAAAACCCATGGCCTTAAGAGTTCAATGTTGAGACAAAAGTCTTTGTAATGATGCCACAGCAAGCTGTCTCATTCAGGATAAGACTATACAGTCTCAAAATGACTACTCTACAATGCTCTTCTGACTTCATGCAGATTGCAGCTCTGAATGAACTCCTGTTACACTAATGAATATTATTTCTAGACAAAGGTTACGTGAAGAAGGCAAGTATAAGCGCGTCTCTTTCTAAAAATTCATGGACTCAAGGTAACAGCAAGCACTAAATTGAAACAGGCAGTGGAAGAATGTTTCCTTAAGTGACTTTCTGGCCTTGTTTTCTTTATAAGATTTTATGGGGAGCCCTTAGACAACTGGGCCATGTGAAGCTGTATGAAACAAAGAGGATAGGTAAGCACCATACCACTTTGCATGCACATCTTCCTGGATATGCAAATCCCAGCTAATACAGGATCAGTCATCTTTCAGCTCCGAGTACTAAAGAAAACCTAACCACATCACTGCCTTTTATTAAACTTGTTATACCACAACAGAAGATATCAGGTTTAATTAGAAGACAGACAGACTTGTTCCTTGGACTAATGACCTTGATGATGTTCTGCAAGATGCCGTGGGAACAAACAGGATGATAAAATCTAATCATTAGGACAGGCACCAGATCAGTCCTCAACCAAGGAGGAAGCAGACCAAAAGCAAACCAAAATGAAATATAATCTAGAGAATGAAAACCAGTATCAAATTAAAAAATAACTCTACAGGAGTGTAGTTTCTGGGACAGGTTTATAAACTACTCGAGATCAAAGCTAAGAAAATTTGCTGGCTAGAGGGACTAGTGACAGCAGTACAGTTCAAACACTGGACCCAGCAGGGTCGAAAACAATAGCTGTATTCTACTGGCATTTCTCCTAAGAGCTACTGATCTGGAGAAATAGGCCATCACCCAGTCTTCTCAGCATTTCCTCCCTCGGAACTGGCTCCAACAGCACTCAAAACCTTGGTTACAATCTCCACGCACTTTTGTGGCAAAATCAAAGTCTCACCCAAGTTTTTAATATAAATATATGAAGTGCCAGAGTTTTTTCCAGACAGTTTGTTCAAATAAAGAATAATAAAAAAGACAGCATACATGTGGGAAGTATCTTTTAAAAGACTCGTAAATAGATCACATGAAAAAGAAGCTCTGATCTAGAGACTCCAATTACCCATATCAAAAACCTGTAGCACTTCCCACTTAGGGATTGCATCATGTGAAGTGCTAGAATATTTTAATGATGGCAAAAGAATAACCTTTCCAGGCCTGCTCTCAGTATATTTTCATTCAGCCTGTTAACATGAAACATCAAATATTTTCAGCCAGTGTGAAGGCCTTTAAAATACAAACAACTGCACAAATCCAAGCAAGTGGGATATAAACCATAACAACCACTTATAAATTTGGTCATAATTTAAGTACATAGTATTCATAACAGGAAAATAAAAATGTCACAGCTATTTGTGAATGTTATCTTTGAAGGAGCTAAGAAATAAACAGTTTGTTCCCAAATATTTTCACTATATACTAAGGGTGAAAAGCCTACGGCCTGAGACACTTGACTTTAGTTAATGTGACTTGTGGCCACATGAAGTTTCTACATGACTACTGGGTAATTCTAAGGTCTGTTTTAACATATGACATGTCAAAGGTGTTTGAAGGGTTTATGT